CGGGGGGGGCTCTTGCGGGGGGTGGTCCGGTCCGTGTGCGGGGTGGGGGGCCGGGCTTGAAGCAGGAAAGGTTCACTTATGGGGTCATCCGATAGTCCCGGGACCGACCACCGGTGTCACCAGGTTTTTGGTCCTGGTATTATTGGATGTGAGTGTTATGTGTGAATGTGTGTCTGCGTTGTTATTTTCTTTATTTATTATTATTATTATTTTATTCAATTTTTTTTTTTTTTTTTTTTTTTTTTTTTTTTTTTTTTCCTGTGGTACGAGTGGGGGCACTAGGGAGGGAAGGCATGATTGAGATGGTGTGTTTTTTTTTTTTTTTTTTTTTTTTTTTTCTTTCCCAGGTTGGGGTCTCAACCGCACCCTCTCCCTCCGCTGGCTGGCGTCGGGGCTCACCGGTGCACTGGTGGAGCTGGGGGTGGATGCCCGGGGGACTGCTGGCTCATTCCTGGCGGCCTCTCCGCTGGCCCCGGCCGGCCGGGGCTTTGCTGGGGCTCCTGTCTGGGGGTGGGGTGCCCTTGGGGCCTCGGATCCCTGGGGCCTGGGACTGGATCCGCTTCGGGGTGGGGCTGGGTGTTGTTCGGGGATTTTCGGGGTCGGTGCCGGTGCCTTCGCTACGATGCCGGTTCCTGGGCGGTGTTTCTTTCCTGTGCCGGTTCTGTGGTATCGGTTCGGGGAGGGGGGGAGCTGCGCGGCATGGTGGGGTGCGGGTCTTGGGTCCTGTTTTGGGCTCCGGTTTTTCCGCTCGCACTTCTCCTCTTGCCTATTTATTTTAATTGTAATTATTAATTAATGTATTTATTTACCTATTTATTTGTTATTTTTTTTTTTTTTTTTTTTTTTTTTTTTTTTTTTTTTTCTCTTCCTCGGTGGGGGGGAGCGGTTGCGGGCGGGTCGGTGTCTGGTGTCCGCTGTCGCATTGTGGGGGCCCCTTTTTTTTTTTTTTTTTTTTTTTTTCTCTTTTTTTCTTTGGGGGGTTTGGCATGTCTGTTTTCTCGGGGGGCAGGCGGGCCTGCTGGGTGGGGGTCCTGCTGGCGGCGCGCCGCTGGTGTGTGGGGGTCCGGGCGGCTCCGGCGGGGGTAGTGTTGGGGGGCCGGTCTGGGCGGGCTGGCTGCGCTGGCTGGGTATTCGGGTGGGTTTTCCCTCCTGGAGGCATGGCGGGGCTGCTCTGTTCCCACTGATTGCGGCGGGTGGGGCTGCGGGGCGGGTGTGGGCCTGGGGTGGCTATGACCGGCGCGTGGTGGGGGGCCGGGGCGGCGGAGCTGCTCTGGCCGCGTGTCGGGGCCTGGTGCGGGCTGCGGGGGGGGTGGCGGACGTGGCTGGGCTGCTTTGGCATCGTCTGGTGGGGGGGGCGGCGCGGTTCGCTCCGCTCTGGCTTTGTGCTGCCCCTCGGGCTGCTGGGGGGGGTGGTTGCGCCGGCTGCGGTCTGCTCCTCTTGCGGTTTTGCGCCGGGCGGCTTTTCTGCTCTCGGGCTGATTCTGTGCGCGGTGTGTTTCGTTGCGCGCTGTTGGCATCGGTCTTGGTGGGGTGGGGCTGCGCTTTTGGCCGGGGGGGCGTTTTGGGGGGGGTCCCGCGGCGCTCGTGGCCGGTTCGCGGCGGATGCGCATGGGCCCCGGCCGGGGGCGGGGCCGTCTTAGTGTTTTCCTGGGTGGTGCGGTCGCGGTGGGTGTTGCGGCCGGTCGCCGGGGCTTGGTGCGGGGGGGCGGGGCGTGTTTCGGTGCTCTGTGGGGCTGGGGCGTTTCGGTCGGCGCCGTGGGGGGGCTGGTGTTCGGCGCCCGGCCCTACTTCGGGGTGGCCGGCTGCCGGCGGGGCCCGCGGACTCGTCCCCGCGGCTCCCCGGGGCGCCGGCATGGCGGTGGCTGGGGGGCTTCCTCGTGGCTGTCTCTCCTCCTGCCTTGGTGGGGTCTGATTTCCGGGGCTGGCCCCGCCTTGGTGCCTTCGCTTCTTGGGTCCCCTTGGGCGCCTGGGGCTTTGGGTCTCCCGGCGCTGGACTCAGTGCTCTGGGGGGTGTGCCTCTCCGGCTCTCCACAACCACTATTGAGCATTTTTTTCTATGGTTAAAACTTTACATGCACAAGTTCACCCTCACAAACAACTACAGGTGCTAGGCTTCAGGTACTTAGAGATTCACTTCCAAACAGAAACCACACATTCATATCTTCAGGTAACACAGAGTACATGTCAGACTTAATAATATTACTTTAGTGATAGTTTCAAGGTGTTTGCTTTATTGTATATCTCGTACCATGTTTTTTGGTTGTGCTGTTCTTTTTTCTTTTTTTTTTTTTTTTTTCTCCATCTCATTACAGGTGTTGAAGCAGACTGAAAATGTTTTGTCATTGTCTCCTTCCTATCTCCTCTTTCTTTCATCTTTTGTCCTGTTTTTTTCTTTTTCTTTTTCCTTCTTCTTCTTCTGTTTTTCTGCTCTACTTACATTGCAGTGTCCATATGAACTGTAAAACTCCCTGCATAATTATAATAAAGCAATTTATATACATGAAACAAGTGGAGCGGTATGGCAATTGCGATACCGCTACACTTGTGAAAGTAAAATCTGTTGGGCTCCTTTTGGCATCAAGACAATTATTCTTATTGCCACCTTGCCAGACAGGACACTGTAAAAAAAAAAAAAAAAAAAAAAAAAAAAAAAAAAAAAAAAAAAAAATAAAATAGTCTGCCAAGTACTTCATTTCACAATCAGTTGATGAAGGAATCATCTGTTTCACTTTTAGACTTAGAATGTCCTTCCAACTGAGCCATGGTCCTATTTAACAGTGAAATGTGAACTGCTATATTAGAATAAATGGATAAAAATGTCTAAACTGAGTCTAAACTCAGATTTGATTCACTGGTTTCTCTCAAGACGTGCATGAGTCACAGGAGAAACAGGCTTCAGTCTCACTTTGGTCTCACTGTATGCTGGGAGATGTAAGTGAAAAAATATATAATGAAATGTATATATATATATATATATATATATATATATATATATATATATATATATATATATATATATATATATATATATATATATATATATATATATATATATATATATATATATATATATATATATATATATATATATATATATACCGGTATATATATATAAAACCAAGAGGTACTTCATACATCAAACAGTATAGAATCATAAAATTAAATAACACAATGTATAAATAAAAAAAAAATTGGCAGATAAAAAGATAGAAAAGAAATAAAAGAAATACATTCATTTTACAATATTTTTAAGGTGATAGTACCTTTCTTTATTGATAGACTTTGTAAATGGATTTTGAGAGATTTAATGGAAAAGTGACAGGAAACAGACAACAAATTAAATGTACAATACAATAACTATTTGAGTTTATTAATAAAGACTTGAAAAAACAACTGAAAAAAAAAAATAAAAAAAAATAAATACAACACAAACAATTCCAAAATGATCAAATCAAACTACCAGTTTAAAACTATCTACCCATGCAAGGAATGACAAGGTCCTACTGTAGATGATCGACAGAGAAAGTTTCAGAGCAATAATTTAAATGCTGGATACGCACAACTTAACTAAGTAAAATGCTTCAGCCAAACTGCTATTCATACATTATGATCAACACCGAAATAAACTGGAAACAGAGCAATGTGGCATCACACAACATCCACAAATCTGGGTTCAAGTTGCTTCATTGAGTATTTTGAGTCAATTTGTGTTGTTTATAAAACCTTCCTTAAATATTTAATTTTTGAAGAAGATTCATTTTTACTTAGTTTTTCGGGTTTGGAGTCAGTGACCTGGCCTCTTCTATTAGCCTCCTCTTTGACCTGCAGACCATCAAAAGGGACTGATCTATAGACGCAATAGATCATTAGGGAAATATGGTCAGAGCAGGTCAGACATTGAGTGCTGTGTTTAGTCTAATATTTTTGTTTGATATATTCCAGCTATTTGGTCATCCTTAATAATGGGGAAACTCAGAGTGAAGCCTTAATGCTGCTCATTCAATCCCTTCGTTCTTTATCTTCATTAATGTGCTCAGGTTTCCCTGATTATTGCCTGATATAATCTGTAAGAAAATAGTGAAAATATGTATTGATAAAATCATATAACCTATATATGCTAGATTTGACTTCTCTGTACAGTCACTGTTGGGAGTAACGGCTTTACATTATAACAGCATTAGTAACGGCCTTATTTTTACAGTAGCGGCATAATCTCAGTAATTACTCTTCTCATTTGGGTAATTCTACTACGTTACAAAACAATGTTACTACACCTCAGATGACTAAAGTGACTCTTCATTTGGGCAAACTTTGCTGTCAAAGAATATCGCTTTTTGTCCTCTCTCACTGCAGGGGGGAGCAGGTCGAAGATAAAGGCTTAGGGGTTGCTGTTGTTCTCAACACACAGACTGACAAAAACAAGAGAGACAGTCGTCATTGGTGCCCGCTGGAAGTTAAAACACAATTTTTTGGTCATTGATATTGAGAGCTAAATACTTCTGTGACCGGCTCATTATGTCTCTATATGGATAAAGTAATTATCCCCATCGGTTACAAAGATCTTTGATCTAATGAAACACCTAGCATGGTCTTACCCTTAAGATAACATTGATTTATAATGGATAACTTTGGCCCTACCAGACTAAGGCTGGTTTGGGGCTATATGACAAGCTTCTTGATGCAAAAAAAGTTAGTTTTCTCATTTGAAAAATGTAAATAATAAATTAGAGGGATAGGAACTGGAATTGAAACAAATAAGCTTAATAAGTATTTGAATTGTCAAAATTCAAACAATGCCCACTCCTAGGTGAAGGCTATATTGGCCTATTTTGTAGTTGGTTTTGTAGTTGGCTATCTATGGTTATAACATTCACCTGGGAGTCTGGGAATGGAATCCCACCTGGGTTCCCCAATCTGTATCTTGCCACTTGATGACACAAAACATTTTATTTGCAATATCTATGATGCTCATATGCATGGTACACAAAAAAGATTAGCTTGTTATGACATTTATTCTATTTCCTCTTCTTCTTTAGCTACAACTGCTAACACTGGATGCCTTAGTTGTTGCTGTATTTGGTGAGTTACTTGACTTAGGCTGGACTTAGCCGTTCTGAGAGCTCATGCACGCTGTCAGGAGCTGTGAAAGAGAAAACATTATTTTCTTTAAAACATCCACAGCATATGCTCCCCAAACAAGGGATAAAAAACAATACAAAGAAAAGATCAATTATACTCACAAGATTGTTCAGTGTGTTTTTCTGAAACAAAAGAAAAAAAGGTTGTTTGTATAACTCAGCACTGATAAAAAAAAAAAAACACTATCAACTCAGTTTTTAGTGTGAAAAAAGGACTTGATCTCAGCTCCTTTCAGTTTCTTACCTTTCCTTTTTCTGTAAATAATAAATCCCACAATGAGAATCACAGCAGCAGCAGCAACCAAAACAATCAGGATTGGTGGATCTACACAAAAATCAGGAAAAGGAACAGATGCAAGTAAATATCTGATATGATAAGACACAGCAGGAAACTTGGTGAATTTTGAAAAAAAAAAAAATAAATGTTTTAACAACTAGAGCTCATTGGAGCTTTCAACTCTATATTGTAAATAGTATAAGAATTATTTTAAATCTGTTCTAATCTATTCGCAAGAACAGCTGAGATTTTATCTGGAAGAATTCAAGTTTAACATTCTTCCAAATTTAAAAACAGTCATAATAAAGTCAAAGCTTTTTGTAAATTTGAAGGTTTAATAATTGACTTTTATGTATCTCTCATTGGAGAAATATACCTCTGCATATAACCGATCCCCTTGTGGAGGAGTGGGCTTCCATTGTGTGGCGCCTGGGGAGCAGTGTGGGGTTAAGGGTTTTGCTCAGGAACCCAGAGTGGAGGCAGTGGGATTCTAACCGGGTACTAGCAACTTTCTTAGAGCACAAGAGCACTGCTCTAACCACTAGGCCAAAATTCCCCACAGTTTTTCAGTTTTCTTCTTTAAACAAATGTACAATTATATTCTTCTTGGACGAACCCCACTCAGCCCCCAAAAGTGTAAAAGAAAAATGTTTTTCAGCATCTCAATTATGTTATATCTGGGAATAACTTTGAACATTGTAAGGTAAAAAAATGTTTGCTGAATACTTACAGTACAAACGTTCTAGATTAAAAATGTTAATAATAAGTAAACCATGGAATGAAAACATTATTTAATTATTTTTTTAGCAATAACATAAGATTAAAGGTCATCATTTAAAAACCAGCTTGAGCTGAATGACATTTCAGGCAGTTTTGAAGGTTTCTGTTGCAATGATGAAGATCTTTCTAAAATCTGAAAAGAATTTAAAAGATATTTTATCCTTTTTTCTTATGAATTTGTGCAGGGATGTTATGCATGGAGAATAAATAGCTCCTGACATTAAAACCATAGCTAAACAGCACATTGGCAAACAAGAAACAAGAATTATGTTAATAAACAGTTATTAACCTTTTGTGCTTTTTCCAATATTGGTTCTGATCACCATTTTATCCAGTTTTGTGATGATTTCATTTTCTTCACTGAATAGCTGAAACACACAGTCATATCTATCCCAGTCTTCAGGTAAGATTGCTGAATTTTTCAGGGTAGCACTGATCTGGAAAGTCCCATCACAGTTTGGAAGGATTTCTCCCAGATCCACCTCTTCTTCGTAAAGCTCGTCTTCATCTTTTCTCCAGAAAATAACTGCTTTGTCAGGATAGAAACCTGTAGCGTGACAGCTGACTGGAGATGAAGGAGTCTTTTGCAGCAAAGACACTGAGGGGAGAACTAAGTAGAGGAATACGGTAAGTAAAGTTTATACATAGGTTGGATTTATATTAACATCTCATTTATAATGATAATAATAATTATTATTAATTCTAGTCAGTTGTCAAATAATTTGTCAGCACTACAGACAAGTCAAAAGATTCTATGAGGATAATAACTGAAAAAGTACGGGCACAAGCAGAATGCTTACACTTATACATGTTCTACTCATCAAATTAGATTACACATCATTGTTCTTGCAAATTAAGAAAGAAAATAACATGATATGAAAAAGCAAAAACATATGATAACTTAGATACCCCCCCCACAAAAAAAAAAAAAAAGTATTATTTTATGGAAAACCAGTTACACATTCTAAGATCAATAAATGCATATTTCTATAATTTACCTTCAATAACAGAAATATTCACCGCTTTCATAGTATAATATTTTATTTTAAAAACATGGATAGGTACGTTTTAACAGTGACCTGGTTTGTTAATAGAATAGCTAATTTTTGTAATATAACTATAGTATAGTTAACTATAGTTTTACTCAGTAGGCTTATATGTTATGGTTCTCCCCTTTCGGGCCTCTGAGTTTTAGTTCTCAGTTATTAGTTTTGTTGATCTTTGGTTTATTTTCCATTATATTCAAGCAGTTTTTAGTTACTCTCTGCTGCCCCCTTGTGCTTGTTTATTTTCCCCTTGGCTTCCTTCTAGTTAGTTCCACTCACACCTGCTCCGTATTTAGCTCATTAGCCCATCCTTTTTTCAGTTCCCCTTATATACAGGTGCTGGTCATAAAATTAGAATATCATGAAAAAGTAGATTGATTTCAGTAATTCCATTTAAAAAGTGAAACTTGTATATTATATTCATACATTACATACAAACTCATATATTTCAGATGTTTATTTTGTTTAATTTTGATGATTACAAATGACAACAAATGAAAATCTCAAATTCATCATATCAGAAAATTAGAATATTACTGAAGACCAATAAAAACAAAGGATTTATAGAAATGTTGACCAACTGAAAAGTATGAACATGAAAAGTATGAGCATGTACAGCACTCAGTATTTAGTTGGGCCTCCTTTGGCCTGTATTACTGCAGCAATGCGGCGTGGCATGGAGTCGATCAGTCTGTGGCACTGCTCAGGTGTTATGATAGCCCAGGTTGCTCTAATAGTGGCTTTTAGCTCTTCTGAATTGTTGGGTCTGGTGTATTGCATCTTCTTCTTCACAATACCCCATAGATTTTCTATGGGGTTAAGGTCAGGAGAGTTTGCTGGCCAATTAAGAACAGGGATACCATGGTCCTTCAACCAGGTACTGGTAGCTTTGGCACTGTGTGCAGGTGCCAAGTCCTGTTGGAAAATGAAATCTGCATCTCCAAAAAGTTGGTCAGCCGCAGGAAGCATGAAGTGCTCTAAAACTTCCTGGTATGTGGCTGCGTTGACCCTGGACCTCAGAAAACACAATGGACCAACACCAGCAGATGACATGGCACCCCAAACCATCACTGACTGTGGAAACTTTACACTGGACTTCAAGCAACGTGGATGAAGTGCCTCTCTTCTTTTCCTCCAGACTCTGGGACCTTGATTTCCAAAGGAAATGCAAAATTTACTTTCATCAGAGAACATGACTTTGGACCACTCACCAGCAGTCCAGTCCTGTTTCTCTTTAGCCCAGGCAAGACACTTCTGACGCTGTCTGTGGTTCAAGAGTGGCTTGACACAAGGAATGCGACAGCAGAAACCCATGTCTTTCATACGTCTGTGTGTGGTGGTTCTTGAAGCACTCACTCCAGCTGCAGTCCACTCTTTGTGAATCTCCCCCACATTTTTGAATGGGTTTTGTTTCACAATCCTCTCCAGGGTGCGGTTATCTCTCTTGCTTGTACACTTTTTTCGACCACATCTTTTCCTTCCCTTCGCCTCTCTATTAATGTGCTTGGACACTGAGCTCTGTGAACAGCCAGCCTCTTTAGCGATGACCTTTTGTGTCTTGTGCAAGGTGTCGATGGTCGTCTTTTGGACAACTGTCAAGTCAGCAGTCTTCCCCATGATTGTGTAGCCTATAGAACTAGACTGAAAGACCATTTAAAGGCTTTTGCAGGTGGTTTGAGTTAATTAGCTGATTAGAGTGTGGCACCAGGGGCCATCAATTTTGAACCTTTTCACAATATTCTAATTTTCTGATATGATGAATTTGAGATTTTCATTTGTTGTCATTTGTAATCATCAAAATTAAACAAAATAAACATCTGAAATATATGAGTTTGTATGTAATGTATGAATATAATATACAAGTTTCACTTTTTAAATGGAATTACTGAAATCAATCTACTTTTTCATGATATTCTAATTTTATGACCAGCACCTGTACACCACCTCTGCAGTCACTCAGTGCTGGTTCCTTGTGGTTGTTTTGCTGCTTCCTCATCTCTGGCTCCACGCCTGAGTTTTCCCCTGATGTTTTTTTTTTCTTTTTTTTCTTTTTTTTATTGGTTCTTTTTATTTTTTACTTTGGATTTCTGCGTCAGTCACCTTATTAAATCTGCAAGACTCCCCTCTGCCTCCTGATCTCTGCATTTGGGTCCTCAAAAGCCCCCACCTGACTGTGACATTATATAATTTTTCTAAATGCTGTTTGTAAACTACATGAGAGTTTTGGTGAAAATGCCCAACAGTGATAATATTTGGACTGAAAAGTGTAAAATACATTTATTCACAACCAGTATAGACAAATTGCTAACAGATAAAGACAGTGTAGGCATTATAGAAATTAAAGTTAATATTAAAGAAATGTTCATTAAAGCAAGTGTGTCACTACAGGTGTTCATGAAAGAAGCCTGATTGTTTGTTACCTTTTCTATGCAGAAATTTCTTCCCATAATTATCGTATATCTTCAGCCAGTCAATGCAAACTGTTGTAAATACAGTCTTAATTGTTTGACCATGGTCTGGGTTTTTATTCCACTCCTTCTCAGCAAATTCAGCCTGTGGACATAAAGCAACCCATCTGCCTGTTTCGATATCAAGCCTTATGAAGGCTTCTCCATTTAAACTGTAAGTCTGGTATCCTTCAACTTTGTGTGTCTGGTCGTCCCATTTACAACCCATGATCTGCTGGACAATGTCACCTGTTGATAACAAAAGGATAAAAGGTACAAAAAGAAACAAATATAAATAAATCTTTAAATTGGAATTTTTTTTTCTTTCTATAAATTATCATCTGAACCTAGATTTGGATGCACACAGAAAGCTTGCAAAAACTTTTCGGTAACTGTTCAGATTTTTTGCATTTATATTCACAAATAAACTTTACTTTTATTAACTTTACTTAAAGTGACCCTTTTTTGTATTTTTTCTATTGTCTTCTGTGAGATATATATTGGACATACCTTCAGTTTGGTTTGGATGCTGCTTTAAACTGGTAGCTTCTTTCTTGAATACAGGCAGATATTGTACCAACTGCTGGGAAGATCCGTCCCAATGTTCTGCATTCTTCTCCTTTATCTCTCTTACCCAGTCTTGTCTGGGTTCTATCATTTCCAATTTGGCATTATAATAAACCACCACAACTTCATCAATGGATCCATACAAAACATATTCTGGGATATTTGGAATTCCAGAGGAGAGCATGAGATAAACTGTCAGGGAATGTTTTTCTGTAAGGAAAAAAATCAGGAACTACAAATTAAAAGAAGAGCTGTCTGTAAGCTTTAGATAAACAGATGGTTTGATCTTTATTGACTTCCATAGATACTGAATAACCTGGAAAAGCAAGATGCATATGATTAAAATATTGCCTTCAGCGTAATTTTCCTTAGAGGGATGTTTATTTGATTTCCGGCCATCACAAAATTCGCTTGGACCTTGGACTTTAACAAATTCATCGCAGTAGGTTTGGTCAGGTCCCTGTTTGCTCCTGTGTTTTTACATACTGTTGCTACCACCAGGGTGGGAGCTGAACCCTTTCCTGTTGACTGTATGATCTGGTTGAACTGTAAAGTGCCTTGAGATGGCATGTGTTGTGAATTTGGCGCTATATAAATAAACTGAATTGAATTGAATTGAAAATTGAATTCTCATGGTTACCTATCCATCCACAACTCTGCTGACATCAGGAAATGTGCAGTTAATTAACTTGTCAACAAGAACTTGAAAACAATTAACAGAAAAGCCACATCAGAGATGGCAAAAGTACTCACTTTCCGTACTTGAGTAAAAGTACAGATACTTGTGTTAAAAAATACTCTGGTAAAAGTGGAAGTACTGATTAAACTTCTTTACTCAAGTAAAAGTAACAAAGTAGAGGCTTGTAAATTTACTTAAAGTATAAAAGTAAAAGTAGGAACCACTTTTTTCATGCCGTTGCCTACATTTTAAATGGATGTCTGGCAATAGGACTAGATCTCCGTTGTGTTCATTTTCAATCATCTCGTCGTCCATGCTACTATGCTAACGCCACCGCCACCAAGCTGCAATGATTTGCCGCGAATGAATACCGCCGAATCTGTCGATTCATCTTGTAGTGGTGCGTCAAATGCAACGTAGATTCCCATCCAATTAGATTGAATTTGGTATTGATGACGTGAAAAATAATAACGGTAACTCCATGGAAATGATTCAAAACTAAAGTAACGAGCCAATTTTTTTAAAATGTAAGGAGTAGAAAGTACAGATATTTGTGTAAAAATGTAAGGAGTAGAAGTAAAAAGTCGCCATAAAAATAAGTAGTAAAGTAAAGTAAAAATATCAGAAAAATCTACTTGAGTACAGTAACGAAGTATTTGTACTTCGTTACTTCCCATCTCTGAGCCACATATATGGGACAGCATTATTAGAGCTCTTACTGATCCACTGAAATGGTGCAATACAGGTTTAAAAAATGTGGGTATACATATTGCTAAAATCGCATCAGCAAATATTTAAACAAAACTACCTAAAATTATTGGAACCAACCAAACTTAACTTTCAAAGATGGATGGATCTCCCAATGTCTCTTATAGGCAGAGGTTAGCAATTAATATGAATATTTTTGCCTAAATATATCTACCTTTTTAAATGTCTTTTTGTAAATGTTCCCAAGAGTTTCTTGAAAAAACTTAAAGTATAACAACATTTTCACGGCAAATGAAAAATGCTAGGGTTAAACTAATCATTCTACAAGCTCCTTATTCAAGGAGAGGACTTAACCCACCTAACTTTAGGAACTGTTATCTTGCCTTTCAGTACTGATCAATATGGATCTGGCTGCATGCAGAGAACAGTGAGGTTAGATGGGTCCAAATAGAAAAACATGACATGAAGTTTATACCTTTAAAAGAAATTCCATTCTTGGGTACAAAGAAATGTTTGGCTATATTAACAAACAATCCAATTGAAGACCTTTGCTGCTGGCAAGAATCTCACTTACTTCTCGCTTCTCGACATCTCCTTTCTCAGAAGGAAACCTTTATGGGGTTATCCCAATACATTTTCTGATTTAAATATATATATATATATATATATATATATATATATATATATATATATATATATATATATATTCTGATTTATCTTTATATTCATTTATATTTATAAATCAATGAATATGAAGAACAGTTTTAATCATTTTAACATGGGACTCGTGGTAACAATCCAACATGAAACTATATAAAAAACTTTATAGCCTCTGTTACTAGTAAAACCTTTTAAAAGATGCATAAAGTTCATTCAAAAGCAACAACTGTTAGGATTAATGTAGGAAATGTAAAGAATGAGAAAGACTTCACACTTCTCTCTTCTCAACTACTGTATGTGTGTCACATCATCCATAACATTATATTTTATATATATTTTAGTGCTGTCAATCGATTAAATTTTTTAATCGCGATTAATCGCATCAATGCCTGAGTTAACTCGCGATTAATCGCATTTTAATCGCACATTTTTTTCCTGATTGAAAATCATTTAAATACTCTCGATGAAATACAAAAAAATACATACAGGCTAGGTTTGTGCCAATGTTCTTTTTTTTAAATGAAAACAGGTCACAGATACTGATTTATGCCAAAAATAACAAATACGTAGGCAAAACAAAAGGCCCTGAAAACAGGCTGATGTAAAAGACAGTCTTTACAGTTAATACAGTCTTTTGAACAAAGACAAGCATTTTACCCTACTGCTATAAAATTTAGTAGAGTTAACATTAGATGTTAATTAACCAAGGTAATAATGAACAATTTTCAATCAATACATCAAAATCAATAGACCGACATCACTAGATAGAGGTAGTCTATACTCTAGAAAGTTACTTTTCAGCCTCTTAACAAAAATGAGAACACACACACACACCCACACACACACACACACACACACGATACCGACCTGTTGCGTACACAGACGGCAAGAGTGCCGTAGCAGATTCCATTTCACCTCAGTAATCTGTTTACTCAGCGTATTTCAGGTTGCTACTAGTTACCAGACACTCAACTTGTTTGTTGGTGGTGGGGCTTAAAGGAAAGGCACTAGCGCTACCCAGTGTATGAGCGTCTTTTTTCCTTGAGGAGCTCCGCTCTCGAAGCCTATGAGAAATGCATAGACTGGGGGAAAATAGCCCCGCCTTCCCGCAGGCTGCAGCGGGATGTACTTGGAAAATTGTACCATAAAACCACATAGCGTTAATCTCACGTTAAAAAAATTATCGCCGTTAAAATGGTCTCGCGTTAACGCGATAATAACGCGATAATTTTGACAGCACTAATATATTTATTTTAAATCCTCGGCTCTGTGTCCTTTTCTGCTTCCTGCCCACTTAACCTCTGGACTCTGATCCCAATCCCCCTTTTTTATATTCAAACCTAAACTTGTTGGACCTTCTTATTATAGCTCAAATACCTATCTAATCTTAGCCATTTTTAACATCTGTCTGAAAATGTTTCTATTTATACATTTTGATTATTTGTTTGGTAGATAAGTGAAATGCTGTCTTAAATGTTTAGGTTCTGCACCCAAAATCTGATGAAATGTAATTTAATCCCCAGTATGTCCTCTACTGTGCATAACTTTATTAGACCTGGTTGATTTCAATAAACTTTCAGATTGTTGCAGAGCAGGTCAGTCAGCTTTCATATAAACTAATGTAATAAAATCAAATTAAGCTTTCTACTGTTGCATAAGATTTGATGTTAAATTAGGTATCTCTTGTAGGTGGCCTGTAAAAAAGAAGAGTCACCCTCAATGAAAGAAAGTATCCAAGGATGATTTAACTGAAACCTGTCGCAGGGGGAAAAAGCATTTAAGAATCTTTAGTCTGTTATTCCTTCCAATGAAGGAGAGTCCTGTTTGTCGCATTTGTTTCTTTGTAAAGTTTTGATCAGGAACCACTTATACATAGTCTATGACAGTTAACGATTTCAGCAAGCATGTGATTAGGGATCAGTAATTTGGTTATGGATCAGCATTTGATAGTTTAAAAAAAACAACAGTGTAATATCTGAGTAAAATAAAAACTGAAAGGGTGTTATTTGGGTATTTCACTGAATTATTTTTACACAAATGTTACTAGATTTAGTATATTTAATAAGCATTAAGCAAATATACTGACCACCAAGCAGCATCAAGAAAAGCAAATGTAAAACACAGTAAAACAGATATATTGGCAATAAGAGCAAAATAAACTTTGAATCAATGAATTAAGTTCAGGTTCAAACATTGGTCTTAAGACTTTGTTTCTTTTTCTTTAAAGGGGGAGGGAAAGCAAAGCTGTTTAGACCCTTAACGGTCTTACTGTTTATCTATCAAAAAAATTTCAAGAACCTCCATGAAGATTTGTGGTTTATTTCGGGGAGTTAACCACATCCTGACTAATTTTAGACCAATAACATTTAAAAAAACAAGTAAAAACACATCTACATACACATACACTTGATGTGCCTGACACATCAAGTGTATGCTTGCAAGAATCCGTACTCCAAAAACAAGATTGCATGAATATTTATACAAACATCTTAACAATGAAAAATAGAGGCTAGAATATTTCAATGTAAAATACAATCTTACCAGAAGATGTGGCATGATAGAAGAACAAGAATGCTATTAAACGGTACATTTTATTCAAAGTTAAAGTAAAACTGAACAACTGAGCTGAAGTGATAGTCATTGTACTTCCTTGTGAGTTGATAATACTTTTTGGTTTTCTTCTTCAGTAAGGTGTGTTTATATGGCACTAGATTGAGATCATAAAATTGTTTAAGATTTCTCTTTATTTTCAATCTTCTAACCCTCTGGGGGCGGAGCCTCAAATGGCAAGGATGTGGAATCATTGACACCTTAGCATAGAAGTTGTCTTTAAATTACCAGTAATTCCACAAACTGTAAGAAATGTACCAGAAAATTAAACCAAAGAAAAAAAATTGGAGCTATAAAAAACCCAAGCTGCTTATTCACTGTTGAAAAGCTGTATGCATCGAAATTTGATAATAGTATTATTAATAAATTTGATAATAAAGTAAGTTTCAAAAAACCCCTTGGATTAAAGAAAAGTTTGAACTTTCAGTGTAAAAAGTTTTTTTTTTTCAGTTTTAAAGGGCCTATAACTATATCCATTTTGTTAAACTTTAACTTAAGTCAAAATTATACACAGTTGTATTTTGCTGGATTCCTGCATGTATGAGTAA